AAATAATGCTTAAATCTGGCTGTTTATTTTGGATATTATTACATTGCAGATAAGATAGTGTTATATTGTCTTTTATAATCATTAAATGTGATGTTATATTTGAATAAATTTTGGCAATTCTTAGTGTTGAGTTTGTAGATGATGCCACTAAAAAAGAAAATAGACATAAGGATCTATTTTAACAGTCAGTCAGTAAGTAACATACGATGATATAAAAGGTTGTTTCATTTAATCCTTTTATATTAAAAACACACTTTTATACATTATATGGTTATATAGTAAACACAGATATCCAGTTATAAGGATGCAGGGCAGCTTGAAGGTGAAGCAGCTGCCCTTCAGTGCTTCAGGTGATGTCTAAATGATTTTAATTACAAAATAAGGAGCAACTTTTTTATTTATATACAATATAAATATCAATTTGTATTTGATATGGCTGGATTTAGGGAACTTAAACAATGAGCAGTAATGTTTCAGCACAGCTTGAGAGAGAAGTGTTGGAACCTTCAGGGCTTCAGGTAAGGGTTTTTTTGGTTTTGTTTTCAGTAGGAGTAATTGGATTCTGTGATCGCTTTTGGAGCTCACAAATGTTGCCACATGGATTTTAATATAGTTTGGCTGATTAACATGTTTATTTCGTTGAATGTTATCTCCACTTCACATGTATTTAGTAAGAAATGTTATGTTAAATGCAATGTTACGATAAAATTAGGACAGCAACTAACAATTATTTAGCAAATCGATTAGTCTGTCGTTAATTCTTTCGATTAATTGGATAGCCAAAGGTTCTTTAAAGAAGATTATTAATGACATTAAACCAGGTGAAACTAAAATATTTCCTCTTGAAGAGTTCTGGATGGAAAGTATTGACAGACAAAAACATTTTATAATCTTATTTGCAAAATGTTTATAAATTTCTTTTACAGTTTTGGTATGATTACTGATCTAAGTGGGTTACTCTGTCGGGGAAAGACAGATTTTACATTTCTATTATGTTTTAGAGTCTCTATACTCCATTTAATGATGAATCACTCACTAAATTAGTTGACGAATATTCAAATAATCAATTAATATGATTCATTTTTTCAGCCCCAGATAAAATACATGAAATGGTCTACACAGAGTAACTACAGCCCAGATGTTCAACTTTTATAGTGAAGTTATTATTTTAATGAATGTATTATTTTGCTTGATACAGAGAGAGCATAGTAGGTAAAAATATAAGAGTGGGGTTTAACTCTGTGTTGGGATCTGGAGCTGTACCATCTTCCTCCAGCAGAGTGCGCCGTGGGTCCTCCTGAGCTGAGCCTCCAACACACCTGTGGCACATCTCATCATCAGAGGACCCACTCCTATATAAGCTGACTTCAGACCTTGCCTCAACGCCGCAGTGTTGATCTAGTTTGGAATCCTGTCTCTTCGTGAAGCTCTGGATGAGCTTAACCTGCCGAGCCTGCCCTCGTGAGCCAAACCTGAAGACTCTTCTCTGGATTCCCTTGCAGCTCTTGGCTAAGAGCTGGAAACCCAAATCAAAGTCTGCCCTCTAAGTCAGAAGTAAGACGCTGAAGCAGTTATTGGACTCTGCTGAACAAACAGTCTCTGGACCCAACAGTTTCCTCTCTCAAAGAGAAACCCGGACTCCTTCAAGGTATTCATCAGCAAACTCAAAGACTAATAACCCTTCAGTCCATGTGCTAACTGAACTGTCATCCCTGCAGACTCCAGTGAACCTACCCCAGGCCCGAACCAGTTCCTGTGCAATATTCATGTGCTTGTGTTGACAATAAACCTTGTTAAACTTTTCATCAGCCTCCGTGTGTGTTCTGCATATTGGGTTTACTCTGTAACCAATCATGACACTCTGCACAATTCTATATCTTCAAAAGAAAATACTGTATTTACCTTCTGTCTTACTTGTTCAAATGAAACCATTTACAAAGTGGAAAACAGTCCTAATTCCACATTCATCAGAGCCGGTGATACTTCAACATTGAAATACTGTGCATAACTTTTCGTACGATTTCATACGAACTGATAATGAGAATACGTTGGAGGTGTTGATGGGGTTTGAACTTCTTTGTACGTCCATTTCACCCACTGAACAATTGTTATTAATCTATGACAATGTAAACTCTTTTATGCATTCTATGACCCCTTTAACGAGTATTGATACACATCATGTGCACACAAGAAACACCAAATGAGGATCTTTTTTGCGCTGTATTTTTTATTTCAAAAATCATTGTGAATGTAAAAAAAAAAAAAGCAGGCTGCTGGTAACATATATATCTCACAGTATCCATACTTATCCAAATGGATGAAACCAGAGTGTGAATATAAAAAAAAGCACAGCACTTGAAAGCGTTAATGTAAGATAAATTGCTCCAATATCTACAAAAAAATAGACTTAATGACTAATTATTGTTTATGCTTTTTCCTCATGAGAAACAATAAATATACATGTAGAAAATAATTAGGTGAACAAAACACAATAAATACAGATATTAGTTGCTGAGTTTCTTATGGCTTTTATTGAATTAAATGACAGTTTTATTATTGTCATTGTATAAGATATATTATTCAATGGTTGAGTCTTGATTACAAGAACATGGAGGCAAACTTACTAAACATTATTAAACACACTGCAAAGAGCGTTCAGTGAACTGAAGACCTGCCCTGAACGCATTAAACACGCCCGACATAAAAAAGCAGGAAGCATTTTCAAACAAGTTAAACAACTCAAACTTTACCTCAAATCTCCATTTACAATTCACCTCTCCTGGCAAGATGAAGATAGTTGTGATCATTTTTATGTTCTTCCGTGTTACATCGTCAGGTAGGAAAAAGTGGGACATTGTTAACTGGTTTCAAATATATTTTTAATTTATTTAACAGGCCTGTCTATAATTGTGTATTTAAATATGCAATTGTGGTCTCATTTGATTGTTACATTTTTTTATTTTCTTAGCACCATTTACTTCCGATGCTCTACTTTCTTAAAAAAAAAAGAAAAACTCCCACAACATTGCAAAAGTGATAAAAGCCTGAGTTCTCTTAAGTCAGTTAAAATCCCATTCTTTTGGGACTGCCTTTGACTTTTAAAGTTAAACTGTTAACTGAAGTATCAGTTTAAGTTTGGTTATCCAACTCTTTAATTTTTTTTTACTACCTGCTTTTATCTTGTTTTTATCTTTACCTTTATACTTGCAAGTTACTATCCAACTTTAAGTAAAGTCTGGGATCTAAGGGTGTTTACTTTAAGGTGTTTAAAGGTACAATGTGTAATTTTTAACAAAATCGAATGGTCAGACTACAGCAACATGACCTGCTTCCTCCAGCTCTTCTCCCCTTAAATAAAATTGATTAAAAAATGGCTTCCGCAACGGCCGCTTTATCTATCTTGTCAAGTGAGGAAGAGGTGTACATTAGATCACAGTATCAAATCCTGAGTTACGTATGTAACTATGCCATTGCTTCAAGCACTTGCTGACCAGTCTTGTGCTTGTAAAGGTTGGGAATTAGTCATCTGCACTGATGGTTATCCGGGATTCATAGAACAGTTGCCTGGCTTCTCACACCTACTGTTGTGCCCCTCAGCTCCCCATCAATCTCTACAGTCACTAGTTTGTCAGCTCTGAGCTGCTGTTGTGCCAATATGTCTCTTCCACAAATGGGAGAACCACGTCCATTATAACATATGCAGCAATTTTTAATGCAGCACAAGATTGAAACTTTCAGTTTGTAGATAATAATAAACAACATACTTGAATAATATATATTTTATTTCTGTTAGTACGGGTTCCTGTAATTATTACACACTGTACCTTTAAGTAACTAAACAAGAAAGCCTTAAAACAAACATCAGCATATATTAAGGGGAAAAAAAGATTGATAATAGTGATTTTCTTTCTGCTTTAAATTTATTTTCACCCTTGTTTTTTATTTTCCATAATTCACCTGTCTGTGCATGCATTGGGAGTTTGAATGTTTCTTTGAAGTATCTTAGCAAAACTCTGGACCAGAGTATCAGAGGTTGTTCTCACAATCTGCTGCATTCACTCCACGGTATGTAGGGATAGGCCATAACAACTACAAATTTCTTCTTTAAGAACTTGGTATTTCTCAAGTTTCTCTTGTTACTTCTTATCAATGCTGATATTGCTTATGATCATTACTCCTTTCATTAGTACTCTTATTTTTACTTTATCCACGAGAATGTCTTGTTCATTAGCCATTAGATTTTTAAGAGGCTGGAATGAAGGAGGTTGGAGCTACATAGCAGTTTATGGGGGAAAGTAAGTGTCCACCCTGGACAGGCGCCAGTCCATCAAATGGCCAATTTGAGTAGATGTTTAAGATAATTTCATAATTTAAATTAAAAAAATAATTCATATGGTAGACTGTTGTTATTAATTGCCACATTTAGTTATTTTGTCACCTTTATGTCATCTCTAAGGAATCATTAAAAAGTGTTATAGATATTATTGATTATCATTAGCTTTATATAAAAATTCATACTTTCCTGTTTAATAGATATTTTAAATTAATGCCTTATTTGTTCCTAAGAAGTCCTATTCTATAGTTTATGTTTTTCATTAAAAAAAAACTGTATTTGTCTTAATGGCATACACTTTTAGCATGAAGCAATAATTTCTTTCTTTTACTTTTGCATTTGTCTTTATGGCACACACAATTAGCATTAAGCAATAATGTGCTTTTACTTTTTCACAATGTTAACATCTTGTATTTATCTATTTTTGGTTAAGAACTTGGGCGTTTTTTTTATAATATTGTAGTTGACTTTTCACACAGAGGGGTTAATGCACCTATTAGTGGTAATGCTTCTATGTAAACATAATACATTTTCTTCATGGTTCTAAAATCATCTAAAGGTAATCTCAAACTATATGTAAAAATGCACACACAATTGAGTTCATGTCACAATTTCTCAAATGAACACAAAGTTAAATTGCAGATAGCTTTCCTTTAATCAAGAATGCATGGGTAAATATATTTACACAATGAATGCAGTAAGAGAACAAGAAAAAATATTTTTTATTTATTCTCCCAACCAACTTTTATTTTCCATATAGCAAACCACATGCTGAAGATTTATATGACTGGATCCTCTGGACTCACAGAGATTCCTGCATACGAAGCAGTTGTAGAAGTTAATGACATCCAGGCAATGTACTGCAATGCAAAAGTAGTCGAAGAAAAACAGGACTGGGTGCAGCAAATATTTAATGAAGATCCAAATCTATTTGAGCTGTCTAAAAGTTCTTGTTATTTGGAGAGTCCTGTCTTCTTCAGAAACACCATTAATACACTTATGGGTCACTTCAATCAAAGTGAAGGTAAGTATTTAAATTATGTTTTTTTGCAGTTAACACAACTGCATGTAAATCTTAAGCTAGCTAAGCTAACAATAAGTAAATAACTCTTTACATTTATGCTTATCTTAAAATTGTTTCTAACTTTATGGTCATAAATGGAAAAATATTGTCCAATTATTTCCATTCTAAAGTGCTCGATTTATATACGTTTATTTTAAACTTGTTTATAGCATCTGCATGTTTGTTTTGGCAATGTTAAGGAAATGAGGAATAATTTCTGTCCCAGGTATCCATATTATCCAGTGTACAGGTGGCTGTGAACTAAACAAGGAGACTGGAGAGCTAACTGGTTTTGTGAAGTTCGGTTATGATGGAGAAGACCTTCTTGAATTTGATTTAAAAGGACAAAAATGGATTGCTCTGAGAGAAGATGCTCTCTTTCTAAAAGAGCTTTGGGATACAGATAAAGCAGAGATTATTTTTATCACTGAACTTACCACAAATGCATGCTATCAGTGGCTCAATGAATCCTTGATTTCTGGAAATAACACTCTTTTAAGAACAGGTACAGTCGTTTGACCAAAGCACTTTCAGTCTATCAATATTCAGTTAATAAGAGTTGGGTTTAAGTGGGTTCTTAAATTATTTTGAAAACAGTTCATTAAAAGATGTTTGCTAATTATTCTTAACTTGTTTGTATTGTAACAGATATTTGAAAAAAATGTTGACCAAGGTTTACTCTGAATACATCTTCAACCTTTTACCCCTTTGTCACTTTCCTTTTCTTTTCCAATCTCATGTTTAGATTACCCATCTGTGGCTCTCCTTCAAAAGACTGCGTCCTCTCCAGTTAGGTGCCATGCCACAGGTTTCTATCCAAAGACATTCTTAATGTTCTGGGCGAAAGACGAAGAGGAAATTCATGAGGGTGTTGAACATGGGGATGTCCTTCCCAATGATGATAATACGTTCAAGTATCATGTAGATCTTGATATCTTATCAATCCCACCTGAAGACTGGAAGAGGTACGAATGTGTATTTCAGTTTACTGGTGCTGAGGACAGAATCCTGACCAAGCTGGATGAAGCAGTGATTGAGACCAACAGAGGTAAGGATAAACACTTATATTTTGGCATTACAAATATCAGGTTTTTACACGACTAGATGTGTGTATCACGTGTCATCTAATCAAAGCAAAAATCTGGGAAATTATCAAATATACTCTACAAAGAAAGGATAATTACGAGTTTTAATAAACATTTTTGAAAAGAACCTGTTTGAATCTCTATTTGTGAAAATCCAACAAGCTCGCCTCCTCCCAATAAAAAAAAAAGAAAGAAGAAACAAAATAAGATTAAGGTGTTTTAATCCTTCCATATTTAAAAAAATATGGGGCCCATAAGTTGCTGACATACATGTGTTGAGAGACTGAACTTTCTAATCCATGATCCATTCAATTAAAATTATTCACCAGAACATCTAGTAAAAGATGACAATTCAGAAAACATATGTGGTTTCAACAATTTAACTATTGTTTATCTATTTATTTAATATGGACATTACATATACATTGGACAAACCAGATGCATTGCATAAGTGTGTAAGCACGTGCTAATTTTCAACACCAATCCATACGAGGCTTTTTAAAAAGTAAATAAATCAATTAATATTTGACAATACAGTAAAACTAGATTACATACAGTAGCAGACAATTTAAAATATGAACAAGTGTACAAATAATTATATTCATTAAATTCATTCTCTGTCCTAACTTCATGTATTAAAATTGGTCTGTAGGTTTAGGTCAGTTGGGAGAGAGTTCCACAGTTTTGGTTGTTTAGAAGAGTAACTTGACTGCCCAATATGTATTCTAAGCATTAGGACTGTACAGTCCCCACTGTCTGAGGCTCTAGTAGGTGGTCTAAGAGGGCCTTGACATCTGACCATAAGAGCAGAAATGAGTGGTGATACAAGATTGTTAACATATTTAAATCTAAATTCAGTGTACTAAACTTTACAACAGAGCCGCCAAGTTTTCCCTTACTAATAAAGCTGAAAACATATTCATAAATTGGTGCTGTTTAAATTAATGTATAGTTCTTCCTAATTAGTTGAGTAGTTGATCTTTATTCTTAATTACATATGATACTCTACCCCAAAAAACATGCATGAATTCTGTAGTGTCATCTTTAATTCTAGTATATTGTTGTAATTAATTAACCGCTATGTTTTTGTCTTTTTTTGGTTAATGTACTAACTTTAAATTTTCTTAAATTTGGACATTCTACATGACACGGTTGTCTCATATGAAATAACAGCATTTTCATTCTACAGCCTCATTCCCACCCCTTCTGCTTTTCCAGTTTTATTGTTTATTTGCACTGCTGCTCTCTGCTTTCTGCTTTTTTTTTGGCTGGGTGGCAAACAACTAATGATGCATTTATGCGGACAATTGGTATGGAGTATGGAACTAAATGTCAGAATTATATGTATTTTTCTTTACTCTTTTCTGTAAAAGTCTCTATAAGCTCTTTCTTCTTCCAGCTATCCTATGTCTCTCTGCTGCTTTGACAAATGGCAAAAAAAAAAAAACAAGGGGTTTGGGAGTGAGGGGACTCAAATCTCTTGTAGCTGGATGACATAAAATATGTAAATTAGGCGATCTAGCATCATTTAGGGCCTTTTGGGGTTGGGGCAGCCCATAGCGAGTTTTCTTGCTGAGCAGTCAGCTTTTGCTTTAGCTTTAGAGATGTAAAAAAAATTATTGCATCCATATTCAACAGAACCGAATGAAAGCAATTCAATTTATGTTTAACCTTTTTTTTATGTTATTAACTTGACTTTGAAAATTTAAATTTTATCAATAATGATATCAGAGTATTTATTTCACTTATTTCTGTGTCTTTAACATATACCTGATAGTTAACACCCTGACAATAGTTCTACAGGTCATTTATGTCCATTGTAAGTAATAGATATCTCAGGGCTGATCCTTGTGGCACTCCCATGTCATTAAACAGAGATTAGATTTAAATCTACCAACCTTAACATATTGCTGCCTTCCCTCCAAGTAAAACATAAGCCCCAACAGGGCCGTTTTCTGAATTGCTCTGTTGATTTTGTTTGTGTCTGTGCAGATTCTGAAGATTCACCTCAGATAAGGATCATCATCATTGTTGTAATTTCTGTTCTGATTGTCATCATCATCATTGCATTAGGATTTACTGCTTGCAAGAGGGAAAATGGTGAGTAAATCTGAGAGATGTGTTTGTCATTTATCTGAAAATTTTTTAAAAAGATTTATAGCATCCTGGAAGTTTCTTGTACACCAATGAAAAAAGTGTCAACTTTTCCTTTAAGAAAATCATTACTTCAATTTAAATTGCACAAATTGGTAAGGACACGTAAGCAAAACCATTAGCGGTCAGTATAATAAGTGCTTGCGATCCAGAAGGAGGTAGAAAGAGGAAGAGGGATGCATCTTACCAATAATTCATTCAGCATAGGGACCTTTCACAACAACATTTTCGCATTCTTGTCTTAAATTTCTCTTCTTTCTACTTTGGGTTCCTATGAGTACATCATAACTGGTTCAACAAATGTTCTTAACTTCAGGTAATGTCAGGCTCAGAACAAAACGACCCAGTATTAGAGGTAGAAAGAGAGTAAGATTCAACGACACGTTTATTTATCACTGAACTGCAGAGATCAGCGTTGGTGTCTAAGGCGGGAACCTCGGCAGGACAGAACACATATTTGTGACCAAGTCTATCTGTCGGAGGATGAGAATAAACGTGTAATTCACTAACCTGGTCGTATAATTCAGTCCGTGCCCAGAGTATGAGGTTGGAACCAGCCATTCAGCTGCCAATAAGACTTGGGTCTTGCGAGTCCAGGGAGCTGATGTTCTGGAGGTCGGACAACAAGCAGGAGATTAGAACCGAGTTAACGAAGGAAGGCAGGATAATCCAGAAGGTGAAGCTAAGGCAGGTGTCGAAGACGTGCTCGGGATTAGAGCCAGGAGATAAATCCAATTCAGTTTATTTATATAGTTCCAATTCAAAACACGTCATCTCAAGTCACTTTACAATTCAACCAGATCATACAGTGAAATTGATTCAAAGTTTTCTTTTAAAGGGAAATTAGGTGATTGCATCGACCCATTGACTCGATGGCAATCCCTCACACTAAGCATGCTTGTGGCAACAGTGGAGAGGAAAAACTCACTTTTAACAGGTAGAAACTTCCAGCAGAACCAGGCTCAGTGTGAGCGGCCATCTGCCGAGGCCGACTGGGGTTCAAGGAGACAAAAGCAGAGACACAAAAGGCAACTATAGAAGGTGGCCCCGTCCAGGAAACACACAGCCAGGCAGAAGAGCTCTGAGCCAGCTCTCATGTCAGAGGATTAAGTGAGCATATCCAGCCAGTCACAAGCAGAGAAACAGGACAACACTGAAAAACAAGCCGATGTCGAACATCTATAAAAAAAGGCGTTGATGGCAGTAGCACAGCTGATATTTCTCTCCAGAATGGTGTCACAGCCAAACAGGAAGAGATGAGGCACAGCTACTATGAAAAAAAGCAGAGAGAGCATATTGTTAGAGACTGAACTAACAGATTCTGCAGAATAGGAGAATAGAGATTGAATGAAAAAGAATGATGAAAAAGTGGTCTATGTCCTCCAGAAGTCTAAGCCTATAGCAGCATAACTATAGAGATAGCTCAGGATAACCTGAGCCACTCTAACTATAAGCTTTATCCAAAAGGAAAGTTTTAAGCCTAGCCTTAAAAGTAGACAGGGTGTCTGCCTCACGGACTAAAACTGGTAGTTGGTTCCACAGGAGAGGAGCCTGATAACTAAAAGATCTGCCTCCCATTCTACTCTTTCTTCAATTTCTCTTTTTTAGATATTTGAATACTAAATCCTAAATTATGTTTCACTTTCAGAGAGACCTCTCACCCCCGGTAAGTAGGCTTTGCACCTATCTGTTTCTCTTTTGTAGAGATTGATTTAACTGGTGTTGAACTGGTGAACTGTATAGTGATTTTAAGATTGGTTGATTAACATCATGTTTTTGATTCTTCAGATTCTGAAAATATCTTTCTGTGAGAATCATACTTCAGATCAAGAAATGCAGCATTCTGCCCTGGATTCACATCCATGCTCCCTATAACAACCAGCTAATGACCAAAAAAGTTTGTTCATTGACATACTGTATATATATATATATATATATATATATATATATATATATATATATATATATATATATATATATATATATATATATATATATATATATATATATATATATACACAGTTTGGAATTATTTTGTAGTTAAGCTTTCAAATAATTGGCACGCTTAAAATGAGAGTACATTTATGTAAAGTAGCAACATCCTTTTAATATTTTAACAAACTAAGTGTATACAATTTGACTGATGTCAGAAAAATGTATATTGATCTTATCTATATAATTAAATCAAAATCAGTTTATTTATATTGCTCAATTCACAACAGCTGTTATCTAAAGGCATTTTATAAAGACAATTCAGCCAGTCAGATTGGTTCAAAGTTTTCTATCTAATTGTGAAATCCCACATCATCCGTTACCGCCCCGCTGCACTTCAGACCACCTGCGCAAAGCCTATAGCCGCCGCGGTTCCTCCTGTCTTGCCCTGTTCCGACTTCCTCAGAGCTCGGGGAGAGCATGCGCTATATTATTATTAAATTCATAGGAGCAAAACATGCGGAAATTAACGCTTAATTTAACACGACCTATTAAAAAAATCCCCATCAGCATCTGGCATATGTGCAGTTTCTTCCCAAATATTTTCTGTTTGTTCTCTACTCTATGCTCTGACTATATTTCCCTAATGATCCATTGTGTCGATAGATCAGTCCCTTTTGATGGTCTGCAGGTCAAAGAGGAGGCTAATAGAAGAGGCCAGGTCACTGACTCCAAACCTGAAAAACTAAGTAAAAATGAATCTTTTTAAAAAACTAAATATTTAAGGAAGGTTCTATAAACACCACAAATTGACTCAAAATACTCAGTGTTCGATGAAGCAACTTGACCACAGATTTGTGGATGTTGTGTGAGGGCACATTGCTCTGTTTCCAGTTTATTTCGGTGTTGATCATAATGTATGAATAGCAGTTTGGCTGAAGCATTTTACCTCGTTAAGTTGTGAATATCCAGCATTTAAATTATTGCTCTGAAACTTTCTCTCTCGATCATCTACAGTAGGACCTTGTCATTCCGGGCATAGGTAGATAGTTATAAACAGGTAGTTTGATTTGATAATTTTGGAATTGTTTGTGTTGTATTTATTGAGTTTTTTTTTCAAGTCTTTATTAATAAACTCAAATAGTTATTGTATTGTACATTTAATTTGTTGTCTGTTTCCTGTCACTTTTCCATTAAATCTCTCAAAATCCATTTACAAAGTCTATCAATAAAGAAAGGTACTATCACCTTAAAAATATTGTAAAATGAATGTATTTCTGTTATTTCTTTTCTATCTTTTTATCTGCCAATTTTTGGTCATTTATACAATGTGTTATGTAATTTTATGATTCTATACTTTTTGAGGTATGAAGTAGCTTTTGGTTTTATATATATATTTATATATATACATTTCATTATATATTTTTTCACTTACATCTCCCAGCATACAGTGAGACCAAAGTTTCTGCTGTGACTCAAGCACTTTTTGAGAGAAACCAGTAGATCAAATCTGCGTTTAGTCTTAGGCATTTTTATCCATTTATTTTAATATAGCAGTTTGCATTTCACTGTGAAATAGGACCATGGTTTAGTTGGAAACACATTCTAACTCTCAAAGTGAAACAGATGATTCCTTCATCAACTGATTGTGAAATGAAGTACTTGGCAGACTATTTTAAATAGTGAAGTATTATAAGACTGGTTAATGTTTTTCTCATTTTTGTGAACATGTTTAATCATTGCTTTTATTTATCAGTGCCTTAGTGTATTGTGTATCAAATTTTTTTTGTCTTTAGAACCAGACAAAATATGCAGGAAAACATATTCAGACCTTTTTGATTAACAAACAAAATGTATTCGGTTCTTCAGTATTGCCCAATAAAGTTTATCTTGTGACATTGCTTGTTTCTTTTATTTCAGTTAACAGTTAAATAATGTTCAAAGTTCTGCAGGAAATAAAAGCAAAAGTGGTTAAAGTTTAACCACGAGTTAAAACAGTGCTACTGTATGTGGATCAAGATTTTGTGATTTTTTTTTGAAGGAGGAGTCAAAAATCTTTATTTTATGTGTTTGTAAATGATTACTGTGAGAAAGTCACAACCAGCCTTTGACGTCATTTGACCTCATGTTTTTCTTTGTTTACACAGCAATGGTTTTAAAAGGATATTATAAAGCTTAAACTAGGAGTCCTGCTGTATGGAAAATGAAGCACATTATGTTCTGTAGAATCATGGGGCCTATGCATAGTGCAGCACTATCAGAGTTAGGTCAGCTGTAATCGACTAAAACAGTATTTCTCAAGTATCCACATAGATGAAGGAGTCTGTGTGAATGAGGGCTCATTATGGCCTGCCTGTGTGCATCTTAGCACACTAATGTTGCAAACAGAAGGTGGGCTTAGAGTCCAAATAACGCATCCCAACAGTGTGCTTCCACAGTCAGATCTTCATGAAACCAGCTGCACTGTTGCAGTGCAGACCAACAAGCTTTAAAATCTCATAAAATTATGTAGAGGGAATTCTGAAAATTTAGACAAATTTAGACTGCTGCTGATTTAGACTAAATGCCAGCCACATGAAATACATGCCTAAATTATTCAAACAAATCCAAGAAACAACTTCAGTCAATAACCAATAAATCACTTATCTTAGTTAATCAGGTTAAACATACTGTAGCTTTAAGTAACCTAGCACAGGAAATTTTCCCTGCTGTTTGCCCCAATTGGCCAACTCTCTCTCATTTTCAATTCGCGAAGACGACCCGGTGAACCTGCTCACTCAATAAATGTCGTTAAATAGGAGCATATATTTGCTGGCCAGTTCTTCCAAGCTGTTCAACTGACCCTGGTGGACCCTGATTTTACCAAACAGTTCATGATACAGAAAGTTCAACACAACAGTCACCCCTTGGTCATTCAAAACATCATATTAAAAGCTCTAATGGTCCTGCAATGCTTTTGAGACATAAACCATAATATCAATTTTGGGCAACAAAAACCAATGTCCATGCTGATATTAATCTCAAACACTGATTTAGGTAGATGCAACAAAGCCATTAAGCCACCATCCATCCGTCCATCGCCCCCTCACTTATTCCATCAGGTTTGGGTGAGGCCAGGGCCTTTCTCTGGCAGTCTATGGGCAAGAGGCTGGGTACATACTAGACATGCCGTCAGTCTGTTGCAGGGCAACACAGAGACAACCATGCACACTAACACCTAGAGACAACACTAACACCTAGAGACAATTTAGAGATGCCAATTAACAGTCATGCTTTTAGACTCTGGAAGCCATAGAGAACCCACTCATGCGCAGGAAGTATCGAACAGGGAGAACATGCAAAAAGACCCAGAGCCAGGAATCAAGCCCGGAACCTTCTTGCTGCAAAATGGAGCACCATGCAGCCCTTCATTTTCTTCCTTTGCTAGTAATTTCTTCAGTTGTACACCAGGGGGAAGCCTAGGACAGACAGGATAGCTGATGTCACATGTTTGCAACTAACATGTAAATTTTATTATTATTTTTCTAGACATGTCCCCGGATTAAAGACTATACTCAACATATGAAGATACTTTGTCAAAAATAAATAAAACACCTGTGTAGATTCCACCTCAGGGAACTGAGTTTGTTTTTAAAATTTTTGATAAAAAAAACTACTACTGTAAGCTGATAATTTTAACAAAAAAAACACATCAGTCTTTTGTAAATCAGATATAAATACATTTCATAAGTCTTTTTGTTGCAAAATTCAGGATATTGAAGCAAAATTTCCAAGCATATTTTTGTGACTTGGTTGTTAAGTCTGCACCTTCTCTTTAGTCTTTATTAATAATTAAACACAGGTTGATATCTCAGCTTATGTAACAAGAATGAAGCAATATTTTTGTCCTTCTGATGCTCAACGTTTCAGAGGTGAAACAGTTTGATTCCATTGGTCTCTGGGCTACCATACCAGTATGTTTCATTCTCCTCTGATGTATCTCAAAACCTTTTTAAACATGATTTTTTCAAACCTCTTAAATAAAATAATCGAGACTGATCTTAAAAACAGACCCATACAGTATAAAACTTACATTCCTGTCCAGAGTTTCAAAGAAGGTTGTCCCTGAACAATTAACATCCTTTTTAGAGAACTGTTGATTTTTTAAAATATGTTTTAGTCTGGTTTCTGCAAGCATAACTTTACAGAAACTACAGTTTCTAGTGACATTTTATTATAGACATTCTAGTGTCTGTGAACTGACAGCATCAAACTCTATTTCAGCATATAATCATGGAAAAATAGATGTGTATTTAACAAATTGATACACAGCATTCTAAATTAGGCCTACATAAAAAGCCAGTTGAAAGATATATACATTTCTTGTTCCTACAACGAAAAGTGAAAGCACTCCGTCTGATCATTACTCCAAATATATTTCTTAAAACTGTGGTTAACAATTTAAAATTGATACCTACATTAACCTACAGTGTTAAAACTTTCTGGTTGAAACATTGCATTTTATATTCTGACCCTTAAAACTTTTAGCACATACCTCATTAATTTCTAGAGGCTCATTTTTCTTGTTAAGCATGTCCTTCAGATCAGAAAATGTTTTGTGCAAATCCAACCACAATGCTTACAATCACAGCCCTGCTAAAAACATTTAGTGGCTTCTGGCTGATGTTTCTTTAAAAATGGGTCTGTGAACCACTTGAGATAGGCTTGGCTTCCCTCCTAACAATAAGCCTACTGCAAGGAGCAGTAGCAGAGGTAGACTTACTGTTAGGAGGGATGCCAAGCCTATCTCAAGTGGTTCACAGACTGAGAACAAATTTATTTCTCACACAATCATTTGCAGGTAGAGTGTATATATATAGCACAAATGATATATGTATCAAAGTAAGTTAAAATTGATAAATAGTGAAAAAAATTTAATGGAAAAAATGCAGGTCAAAGAGGAGGCTAATAGAAGAGGCCATGTCACTGAAAAAA